CGAGCCGCCCCGAGGCGCCGTGGTGAGCGCGCCCGGCCGCCCTTCCCCATCCCGCTCCACAGGCCTTTCCCGTTCCGTGTGCGCACAGCAGAGCGCGCAGCTCATCCCAGGACAGCCCCCAAACCGAGCAAGCTCCGTTGTGCGGAACGCGCTGAATCCCCGTGAGGTGGCAGGAGTTTGTTTCATTTTTCCTGTGGTTTTAACAACCATGAGGAAGTCTTGGTATTACTAATGGAATGGGTACAAACATCCCGCTCCACAGGCCTTTCCCGTTCCGTGTGCGCACAGCAGAGCGCGCAGCTCATCCCAGGACAGCCCCCAAACCGAGCAAGCTCCGTTGTGCGGAACGCGCTGAATCCCCGTGAGGTGGCAGGAGTTTGTTTCATTTTTCCTGTGGTTTTAACAACCATGAGGAAGTCTTGGTATTACTAATGGAATGGGTACAAACAATCCGTGCACAGTGTTTCCAGCAAGCAATGCGGCCAAGCAGTGCTTTAGGCATGGGGTAAACACCTAGCTGCCTGCTCGGAAAGGCTCACGTTTTTCCTGGTAAATGTGAAAGGGAAACTGGCTGCTGGAAAATAACTCGTTGTGTTGCTCATGACTGGGCTTTCTGTTGCTAGTCTACCAGATGCTGTAAGATTTTTAAGTCTGATTATGAGGTTAACAAGCCCTGCTGTTGTTTCTGAGCCTTTATTTGTCCTGAGGTGTTTGACAACTTCTTTTTAGAATAAAACATAACCCTTTCCCCCTCATTTTAACGTGTGTTTCATTATAAAAGTCGAGCAATAGCTTAACTGTGAGCTAGAGGTGTCTCCCTACCAGAACAATCGCTTAGCCTTCGCTGTGAGTTTGATTTTGGGACATGATATTTTTCCTTTTATCCTCTTGCTCAGTTTTAATGGCCAGGGCGAGGGTTGACCTTGATGGTAACAAGTTGTATTTGGCATCTTCCAATGTCTAACAAGTTGTGATTCAGTGCGAGGACCAGACTGGTGACACACGCCTGGTAAATAAACACTGTCGCGAGCAAGCGGCCGGGGTGCAGGATCCTGGCACGTTGCTCGTTTATCTTTAAAAACCCTCTTTTATTTCACCCTTGTGCAAACACCCGGCCTGGGCACAGCCGCAGAGCACCCCTGGCAGCGGGGTAGGAGCAGACGGCTCTCGTTGTGGGCTCAAGTTTAATTACTTGGTACTCAATGAACTTTAGGACCCAAGTCAGTTTGGTTTCGTTTGCTGATCACAGTCTGTGTGCCGGCATTGAAGATATCGTGGCATGTGCTGCGAACAGAATGGCTCAAGCGGGCTGAGAAACAGCAAACTTTGACAGTCGGGCTGTTCCAGCTGCAGAAGAATTTGCTGATGACCCTGTTCAGAGTTGTCCGTAAGCAAAAAAGAGTCTGGGCCGCATGGGAGAGCGGAGAGAAACGCAGCACTTGGCGCCCTCGAGGGCGGCTGGCGGAACGATTTGTCCCAGCCACGTCCAGCTGAAGTGTTGGGAAAGCAGCACGGGCTCGTTTGAGCGGCAGCGGGGATGGATTGAACGCTCTGTTCTCGTCACAGCTGTCCTGGTGCACACACAACAGCGCCGAGGGCAGCGGCGACGGTGTAGGAATATTCTTGAAACCAAACATTGTGTCAATTCTGTAAACCTCGTTGTTTCCCAACCGTACGCCAACACGTTCCGCATGGGAGCGGCCGCTTCTCCGCATCCTTCCCTAGGACAGATTCCTGGGTGGTGCTTTGCCCTGATTCCTTGTCTTCCCAGGCAGACGGGGCAGTATCCAGGGATCTCCAGGGCTGCCCTGCTCTGCTTGGGTCTCATTTGTTCTGAGTTGGATGGGGAGTGATCCATGTGGCTTAGCAAAATTACCTGTTCGTCTTCTTTCTGGGAATCCACTAAGGTTGTTTCCGAGTGTGTTAGTTTTGAATGTGGAAATAGTAAAGGGAACCGGGCTGGTGGTAGGGGGAGGGTTTTGTTTTTGCTGTGGTTGCTCTATTTTTCCTATAGGCTCCCAAATCTCCAGCGGGCTGAGTTTAGCTGTAGCAGAACTGAGTTCTGGGGCTTGGGGTGGTTCTGTTTCGCCCACACTGATGGGTCCACCCCAACAGTGCAGGATACGTCGCTTCCTCTGCTGACCCTGCTGGGCTATTTGGGATCATTTCTTACCAGGAGCAATGACCACATCCCACTGAAAAGCCACGTATTTTCCTGTCATGTTCTAAGTTTCCCCTCACTATGAGGGTGTGATCATGAAGTGTGAATTATTCACTAACATTGAGAACTGTGAGAGAAGCAGAATAGCAAACTCGGGAGAGCTCCTGCATCTGAACAGACAGGCTGTTTATAATTAAATATAAAGTCTTCAGTATTAAAAGCCAGAAATACAGCAGTAGCTCTCTGTAGTGAATGTTGAGTGTGGGAGGGTAAAATTCTGGTATTTTGTGTTGCAGAATGACCCTCTTGTGTCTCCTTGAAGTCTGTGTGTGTGAATCCCAGACTTTATTAGTAATAGCTTTCCATTTAATTCTTCCTAAGTGACAGTGACGCTGTAATTAGCCCACGCTGTAATTCCCTGTTTGCTGCTGTTTCCTTGGGAGAGTCTGGCCTGTTTTGGAGGGGCTCGGGGGCAGGCAAACAAACACGCAGCTATTTAAAAACCAGTGTTACCTTTCTGGGAAAGCTGGTGGTTTTGCTTTCAATTCACTGAGAACTGCATCAGAATTTAGATAATGCCCTGTCTATACTGCGGATTAATTAGTGTTATCCAAATCTTTCTAAAGCCGCGTTCTAAACAGGTTCTCTCTTAATGATTTGCTTCACTAGTCTGGTCAAGGAAAATATCAGGATTTTGGGGTCTTTCGGGTTCTGTTTTGAAAGCTCTGCTTGCCATCTATGCTAGATAATGTAGATGACAGAAGTATCATTAAATGTGATTTTTATACTAGCAGTGTCCTATCTGCACTGGAAGCAGTGTCTTCATCGGGACAGAATTTATTTCTGAAGAAGTAAATGGGGGAAGAGGTTTTTTTCTGCAATCCTCCCACCTGCTTTAATGAATGGAAACGCGCTCTGGCAGGGGCCGGGCTCGGGAGGCTATTGCTGAATTTATAACTAAACCCACTCAACTCGGGGAACAACAGTCAGCGAATCTGAAGCAGTCTGGAAAAATGTGAATTTCCTCTGAAATTGTCCCATGCATCTGGCTCCTTGGCGAGCATCTTGAGTGCTCAGAACTGCCCTCTCCAACAGTAGCCTTGGCAGGATGGGCTGCAGGGCCCCTTTTCCATCCCATCACACTGCAGACTCTCTGCAGCTTTCACATGAGACCTTTTTTTTCCCATTTTTTTTTTCCTCATTCAGTCTTTTCTCTTCTACAGGATTATATCTGCCCCCGGTGTGAATCTGGTTTTATTGAAGAACTTCCCGAAGAGCCAAGGTAATGTGCTGCTCCCAAATGTAATTGCTAGAGCAAACAAGTCTGCTGTGTTCTAGATTAAAGCCAGCACTGCATACTAAATACACTATTTTCTCTCTTTTTTTTTTTTTCTGGCCAATATTTGACTTCTCTTTCTTCACTGTGGCTCCGTAGTGTTTAATTTGCACAGTTTGCATCTACAGGTGCATCAGCTGTGGGAATGCTGCGTGTCATGCTTTGCTGGTAAACACGGGGAGGAAAGGGTGGTTTTAAGAGAGAAAACGATGGCAGAGGCTTCCCACATGGACGGCGGTAGCTCCGGCCGTTTTGGATTATTGTGCAGGGATACTGTCTGAGGAGAAGGCTGGAGAATGGAGAGCAGATTCGTGTGTGGGTGCAGAATTGGTATGTTAGTTTACAGAACTAATGGGGCTGCGTTTTGCCCAAGCCTTTGGACTCTGCACTGGAGCCGAGCGCTGTGTTCACGTGCGTTGCTGCTGACTCGGCAGCAGGGCTTCCCTGGGGTCAGTGCCAGAGAGGACCGAGCAGCAGAAACGTCTTCAGGCTTCGGGGTTTGCTGGGGCTGAGCAGAACGTGGCCAGGCTGCTTCTCCAGAGCGCAGGGGTTGCTGCCCACCACCCACTCGTGAAGCTGAGGTTCCCAGCACCAGAGATTCCAGCCTCCTGCTCCAAGGAGAAATTTTTCTCATAATAGTTTGGATTGACCAATTATTTCCACCAACGAGGCAAAGGAAAATTATTTATTATAAGGGGAATTTAAAGCTAGGATCCATTTCCAAGGAGCATGTGAAGGTATCAACCCAGCATTTTTTAAAAAGAAGAAAACAATAAAAGATACTTAGGAGTTCTAGTACTAAAAGATTTTGTTTTTTATGCGTGTCCACATATTTATCATTCCTTAAACAGTTTTACCAACTGAGCTTTCCCGACTGAAAGGGGCCTATTGCATCTGATTACTAAAGACTGGAGATCAGTCTTAGTAATCCAAACTGTACTGGTCATTTGATGTAATGATGGGAGAATCTCTTAATCTTTAAACCTTAGATTTTTGTTGTCTTTAATGTCAAAGTAGAGAGCTGGATACCAAGGAGTAAATGCTCCTACAGCTCTCCTAAAGCAGAAGCCTAACAGTATTAGAGTTTTCCTAGTAATCTGCCCCGTATCCTTCTCTGGATACATGACTTGGCAAGAAAGAAATTCCTTTGACCCGAGATTAGGCTTAAGTGTGTTTGGGTCATAGTGATCACAGTTTGTACCTTAAATCTTCTCTTCCTGGTGTTCCAGAGGATTAGCTGATTTGTTTGAGGTGGATTGTGCTGGGAATTCTTGCTTGACACTGTACTAGAGTCAGTTCCCTGTAGCTGTGTGAAATCAGAATCTAAAAGAGTGGGAAGAGATGGATGAAGTTGCAGGAAAATTAGGGCTATAGGGGGACAAAATGAAGATTGATGTGGACAGTTAAAAAATCAGCAGCTGAGGTCGGGCCAGAGTCTGGATTGGAGTTGATCCTGCCACAGAGGAGGAGAGGCTGAAGATTTCTGGGGTCCCTCTAGCCCTGGCTCCGTACAAAAACGAATCCGTTAAAGCGTGTGCCATAACTGAGCTGCTACAATGTCTGCTTTCCACGTCAAGACCGTGTCCCTTGATCCCTCTGCGCAGGAGCTGCTCCGTAGCACCCTTCCGAGGTTGTGCAAAACTGAATCTGTTAAAGCGTGTGCTATAACTGAGCTGCTACAGTGTCTGCTTTCCATGTCAAGACCGTGTTCCTTGATCCCTCTGCGCGGGAGCTGCTCCGTAGCACCCTTCCGAGGGTCACTAATGCACTTTGTTCTCCTCAGGAACACTGAAAACGAGACCAGCTCCTCCACAGCAACCAGCGAGCAGAGCAGGCATCCTTTTGAGGCAAGTCCTTGCTGTCATTTCCTTTGTTGCCACTGAGGTATTTTCTATTAGTAGGTTGGTTAAATGTTCCCTGGCTTTTCACAGCATTTAGGGAAGGATGTATTAATATCATTCACATACTGCGCCTGAAATCTCTTCATATATTATGTTTGCTGTGTGATTTTTATTAGAACAGTCCCTTATTCGTGTTGTGAGAGGGCTGAGCTAGGATTTAGTGAGCTGTCTAGCTATGTTGCTGTGCAGTAGCCTCAGCTTAAAAGGCAATAGTTACACACAGCAGCTACAGAGAAACCAGGAAAGTCATAGTGAATCCTTCCTACTTTCTTAGGCAGTTTGAGTCTATGTTGCCCTTTCCTCACTAAGCTACTCCTGTGTGTGCAGGGATACCTGTGTTAACCAAGGTTTGTGAGCTGCTGGGGCTCTGAAGAGACTCCTCTTTGCTGGAAGGCCAGAGAAATGCCAGTAGTAAAACTAAGAGCTGCTTCTCTTCTCATTACAATCTGCTCCTTGAATTCTCTCCCTGCCAGAATGTGGATCAGCACTTATTCACCTTGCCGCAGGGCTATGGCCAGTTTGCCTTTGGGATTTTCGATGACAGCTTTGAGTTTCCTTTCGGGTCCAACGTGCAATCGGAAGACAACAGGGACTCCGAGAACCGCAGGGAGCGCGAGCACCAGTCTCGGCACCGATACGGCGCGAGGCAGCCCCGAGCCCGTCTCGCCGCGCGGCGTGCCGCTGGCAGGCACGAGGGAGTCCCCACGCTAGAAGGGTGAGAACTGCTTCCAGTGGCCTTGGGGACATCAGGAGCCCAGGTTTGCACTGATACCAGTCACCCTGGGATCAGGCCATCTCTTTCCCATAAATGTTTGGGGACTAGTCTCTTAAGGACTGGGCATGATCTGGGTGCCCCTGCTGGAGCAGGAGGGTTGGACTAGATGATCTCCAGAGGTCCCTTCCAACCTTAACCGTTCTGTGATGATATTACCAAAATGTTGTGTTAATTGTGAAAGAAAATAATAGAGAACACTGGAGAGTAAGACTTAGATTTCTTTGATGGAATCCTGCAGAGCACTTTGCCACCTTTGTCAGAAATCTTCCCCTTCTGGCTAAATTACTCAAATTTGCCTTTAGGAACAAATGATCAGCTTCTAAGATGTAATTGCCTTTGCTACAGGAAATTGGTTTGCCTTTTCTCCCCCCATCATTGCACCAGTATTTAGCCATTCCTTCCTTGTCAGGGTTCTGGGCTGGGAAGTAGCAGGTACTGAATCTCATTTGATTCTGTTTTTGTTGCCTTTCAGAATTATCCAGCAGCTGGTCAATGGAATTATCGCACCTACAACAATACCAAACCTAGGACTAGGCCCTTGGTGAGTTGCATTATGAACTGCTCTTTCTGGCAGTGTTCTTGCTGGTACTCCAGTGGAATTGAATTTTTGTCCTTATTCTTAAAGGGGAGTCTTGCATTCAAATCCAATGGACTATGCCTGGGGTGCAAACGGCCTGGATGCAATTATTACACAGGTAAAACCAGCATTGTAATGGACTCTGTCCTCTTGTGCAGTGCTGCAAAACTGCTGGCACTTGGTGTGATGCGGGGAACAACCAACTGAAGTGATAAAAGTGGGAGACAAGGCCCACAGTGCAGGGGGTGCTGGCTTTGAACACATTGCTCCAGCAACTCGGGTCCATGCACTGCTGAGCTCACATCTACTTTCTGTCACCTCTTCGTTTTTTCAGTTACTAAATCAGTTTGAAAACACTGGACCACCACCAGCAGACAAAGAAAAGATTCAGGCCCTCCCCACCATACAGATCACGCAGGAACACGTAGGTACGTACGTCCCCGCGGTGGAGATGTTCACAGAGCTCTGTGACACTTCTGGCTGATGGGCTCTTGGGTTTCTAATTTTGTCTACTAATACCTCGAAGGTCTGCAACTTTTCGAAGCAGGGAGAAAGCTTAAGTATTTGCCCTGTTATACTTGCACCTAGGAGAAATGTAGAGTGATGGGTTTACCCTGAGCAGGCAAACTGTTTCAAAGAGTGGGATGTGGGTGGAGGTGAAAGCAGCACACGCAGGCTGCTCGGGCGGCCGTCCCCTCGTGCTGCAGCCAGGGCAGGAGGATGCAGCAGATCCTCGGCTGTCAGTGCTCTGCAGCCCTGCTGTGTGAGCCTGAAGACTCACACAAGGCAACCGCCAAGTTGCTCTTATCCATGTCCATCATACTAACGAATAAAACACGGGGGGTGTATATGTACTCACATCTGTTTCTTAAATATGTGTCTTACAGTAGCAGGGGGGAAGCAGTGAAGTTCAGGGCGATGAAGGATGGGTCAATGGTGGAGGAAACCACAAAGCAAAAAGCTTCCCCATCTGCAGGGCTGGAGCATCAGGAGGGTCAGCGGCCACGAGAGCTCGCGGGGAAGGGTGAGGGGATCTTGTGCTGGGCCCTGTTCAGAGCCATCCCTTTATCACCTGTGCCTTGTCTTCTTTGTGATACAGACTCTGGGTTGGAGTGTCCTGTGTGTAAAGAAGACTATACAGTTGGGGAAAACGTCCGGCAGTTACCTTGCAATCATCTATTCCATAACAGCTGCATAGTCCCCTGGCTGGAACAGGTTAGTTCCGTTCGAGCAGGCCACCTGGATTTGGTGCTAATTGAGCGTTTTCTGTGGTGCTGTTCTCTGTAAATATTTTCGGACCTGTGGTAGGCCTAAATATGAGCAGCCTTTGATGAGAGGAAGGAGAGTGATTCTAGTCATGCTTCTAATCCTGTTTCCCATATTTCTTGTTTTGTTTTTGTCTGCTCTCCAAAGCATGACACGTGTCCTGTGTGCCGGAAAAGCTTAAGCGGACAAAACACTGCCACAAACCCCCCAGGACTCACAGGGATGAATTTCTCTTCCTCCTCCTCCTCCTCTTCCTCCAGCTCACCAAGTAACGAAAACTCATCGAACAACTCATGAATCTTAATCCGACCCTCTGTCCCTGGGGCCCTGTCCACTGTCCTTCCTCCCTCCCCAGCCAACATAAGCAACGAAAGGGGCTTCCAGAGCAGAGCGAGGGGAGGGTGGCGGAGGGAGCAGGACCCCCAGAAATCCCTTTTGAGTTCTGAAGACACACAGAGACTCTGGGCTCTTCAGAGACGAGAAGCCTCAAGTTCTGTGCCGGGGGGGAGAGCTCTGTCTATTAATACATCCCTTTGCCGCGTGGACTTTCCAACATTGCAGCGAGAGGCTGCTGCGCCCCACGGATGGGAAACCCAAGGTGCTGAGCTAGCGCTTGCAATCCTGAATGGAAAGGTTGTTTGTATGGGTTTGAATTTGAGATTCCTTTCTTTTCTTTCTTTTGCTCCTCCTCCTCCCCTTGGATACTATCTCTTCTGCTTTGGAGATTGAACCTTTAAAAGGAAAGCATCGTAATACTGCCTCCCTCCCAGGATTTCCAGCCAGGGAGGGAAAATAGTTGTCACTGAAAAAAGTGAACTCTTGAAATAGACCCAGGATAGAGGATCATCCTTCCCCTCCCCATCTCAATTCCCATTTATTTTTCTTTATAACCTTGCCCTTCTGATACTCAACACTGAAAGGGTTTTTATAATTTTAAATTATTACTGCTGTTAAATAAATGGACGTTTCAGCTCAACGAGAAGTTATGCATGATTTGTGGAAAGCAGCAGGCCGAGCCCTGGCGAGCGCGGTCGCCCGGGCCAGCCCGGCGCGCTCTGCGCACGCGCTGGCACCTCTGTCACAGGCTCCTGAGCCACCAGCAGCCACGCGCGTTGCAGAGCGTCGCGCGGTTGCCTGCGGGATTGCGACGCAGAGCATCCTTGCCTGGTCTTTTGTATTTTTTACACCGTCTCCCGTTGCAGTCCTGCCCTTCTCACAGCCTGAATGGACTTTTCCAGTGTGTTTCACACCAGGACTGGGCGTGCACCAGAGCAAGGAGCAGCCAAAATATCATTGTGAGCAAATAACATACAGGAAAAATGACACTTTGGAGGAAAAAAAAATGTATTTCGAAGCTACTTAAAATACAGCTGATTAAAAAAGAAGAGAGAGAGAGAAATATCCAGGTGTGCTTGTGCCTCCGTTTCCTTGGCAGAACCGGGGCTGGGGGAACGCGGCGAGCGGGACGGGCTCCTGCCTCCGTGCGTGTCCTGGCTCCCCTGGGCTGGCAGGGACGAGGGGATGATGAGGAGGGTGATGAGGGCTCTGCACAAGCGGCATCGCTTGTCCTGATCCCAGGGCAGCTCTTGGGGCGGCACTGCTCGCCCTTCCAGGCCTTTCTCCTGTCTCCTGGTCCTGTGTCCTTTCGGCAGCTCCCACATACGGTCCCAACTCCTTCTGCGTGTCACGTGCGCAGCTGCTGTCACGAGCTGTGGCCCTTCCCCTGGCCGGGGCTCCCAGGACACTCGTGGCACCTGCAAACGCCTGTGCAGTAGCTTAGAGCTTGGTGAGGTTTTTGGCCCATTCCCTCTTCCCCTCTTTGCCCTGGACTGGGTAACCGGGTGTTCTCTGGGACCTGCTCCCTGGTGGGTGCTGAAGGGGCCGGGTCTGTCCTGCCCGGGCAGAGGGGGGTCCATTTTTCCTCTGGTTCCAACGTGCTGCCCGCAGAGCTCTGGCCGTGCGGCCCTCGCCCCACTGCAGCCCTCGGCCTTGGCCCTGGTGCCCGTTCGGCTCCTGCCTGTCCCTTGGGTGACTCACGCACAGGAACTCGGACGCGGCCCAGAAGTCGCCGAGCGCAGCAGGAAGAACCGCGGCTGCGGAATGAAGGAGGAGCCGTCGCCTCGCGGACGCCGGCAGCGTTACCTGTCCCGAGGCTCTGGTGTCCCCCAGGGGCTCTGGGAGCAGGGCTGGGGCCACCGGGGTCCCGTCAGCTCTGCGGAGGAGCCACCTGGTTCCCCAGCACACGTGTCCCCAGGGTGGGGACCTCATTGGGCCCTTTCAGAGGAGGGTGTTTGGGGACAGTGTCCCCGCAGACATTCCCTGGGTGCCACTGGAGCTGAGCGGGTTGCACGGTGACACCGAGTGTCCCCTGCAGCCTGGGATCCCTGTCGGCCGCTCCTGCTGGCTCAGCCAGGCCAGCGCGATGGCGCCTTTGATCTCGGGGTGGGGACGGCTCCGGGTTATCGCACAAGGGGACAGCGGGGGCCGTGGCGCGTCCTGTGCCCAGGCTGGGGGACGAGCCGGGAGCCGTGGGCTGGGGCAGCAGGAGGGTCGCGCTTGGCACTGCCCTCGCGGGGCTGTCACCGCGGCCCGGCC